ACTGCGAGTCGAGCTCCTTATCCACCTGGCCATGTCGGGCCCAACTTCTCGATATTTCATGTAAATATTTATGCATCTCAGAAATCGACTTTTCCAGAATTCATATTATTTACTGTGTTACGCACCCAACAAAGTTTAAATCGAATGATATTATCAGTTTTATTACCAATCACCAGACAAAATTATATCTGTTCCTCTTTTTTTTTCGATTTTGGATTTACAACTGTATTACAACACCTCTTTTTTTTTAAATCGGTGAATAAAATTATCGACGAAATTTCGTCATCACACACTTCTTAGTACATACAACGCATGCGTAATATGACGTTACACGATTTCGCCCAATCAGAACGTGTTCAATGAATTTGTGGAAGTATTTATAACAGTTTGTGCTTTAAAAACGACCATCAAATTAGAATTGTGACCTTAAAAACTTTTTAAGGGTAAAGAATTCCTTTATGTCAGATAAAACTCACAAACGATGTTTTGTTCCAGAACACTTTCAATATGTTTTCTCTGTTTTATTAGCTGTATCTATTTGGTAAGATTTTCATATTTATATAATCTATTTTATTACGTAGTTTAAAATTCAAAAAATCATTTAAAATGGAATAAAAAAACATGCGTCATTTTAAATAATACATTTTAAAATCCCATTTTAGCTGTTTTTTGAATTTTAAATTTTGTAGAGAGTGGGAAACCTCCAATATTTATATTATTATGTCGTTATTGTTGTTTCAAATAAATGTTATATTATCGGATTGAATGAAAAAGAAAACGGTGATAAAGTGTATGTCATAATGCTTTAGATGAGGATTCATTTTTAATAAACAATACCTTCGAAGTTTTTCAAACATTACTATTTTTTTAATAACCACAATTCGTGTGAATTAAATATTTCATCAAATAGTAAGTACTGAAATGTGATCTGTTAGGTAGAATTTGAAATTAATGTGATGTTTTAGTTGACTTAAAGTGAGAGCCTGTTCTCCATTAGGCAAAGATTTAAAAAGGTTATCATATAAGTAAGTCGAATGTTTAAAAGTCTTTTGTTTGAACAAATTAATCGTAAAACATACCATTAACCTTGCAAGCCAATACTTTTAAAGTTAGACCACTGAATATCTTACCCAAATAGAAATCTTTCTTTTTTATTCGACAAAACAGGAATGTTTTTAAATTTTCTGAAGACTCCTACGTTGTGGATGAGAATAAAGCTATTAATTTGAATATGTGTAGCTCGGGAGTATTGAGACACGGCTTGTCTCTAGATACGATTTAATTGTTTATTATTACCAAATACTTATTAAATGGTGCATCTGCAAGTAAGCACGTTTCTGAAAATACCTGATTATGTGAAGGTATTCAACACCTGGAATTATGGCTTGATTTGTTTGTTTGTTGCTACAGAATGGACTACCTGTATTCTGCCCACCACGGGTATCGAAAACAAATTTTTAGCGTCGTAAGCCTGCAGACTTAATGATGAATCAATGAAGGGCCTTGGTATTCTGAAAAATGTAATGTGATACATTTAGAGCAGAAAAAATTTGAATTTAGTTATATTTTATCACAAACGAATAGTAGAATTTTGAAGAAATGGAGGAACTAAGATATGAAAGCAGCAACAGATTTAAAGCATTCGACTGTGTTTTCTCTTTTTTGGGGGGTGTGGGGTGGGGGAGGGGTTCTAATTAGGAAAACTAATAAAATAGTATGAACTATGAACATATATGAAATTATACTTTTTCAACTAGAGCATTTATCATAAAACATTTTAAGGCTTATTAGATTTCATTTAAATATATTTAGTTTGTCATGGTCTATTAAAAAGACATCATTCGGAAGTAAACGGAGTTACAAAATATAAGTGTGCACAACACTGGTTTTCTTTTAAGTTAAACGTTTATCTTCATTGGGTCAGCAAGGATAGGATGATATAAGTTCATTATATGCCTCTACGAAAAGCCAAAGTTATAAAACAGAAAATACTAATGGGTATAACCTGAAATATTTGCATAACTGTGAATATTCGTACATAACTTTACTGGGCACGTTAAGTTTAAGAAGGTTAAAAAATACAGTGTTTGAATCCTATACTGTGAGATTGCTTGGAAGTACATGTATAACACTGGGAAATAATTCAGCTTCAACCATCGTGTTTTGAGTACAATATTTGCCAGCTTATCTGTATGAATAATGGTGGCTTCGCATGACCTGGTGATTAGGACACTCGACTCGCAACCTGATGGTCGCGGGTTTGAATCCCATCACCGAACATGCTCGCCCTTTCAACCGTGGGAGCTTTATAATACGACTGTCAATCCAACTATTTGTTGGTAAAGAGGATCCTGAGAGTTGGCGTTGGTAGTGTTTACTATCTGCCTTCCTTCTAGTCTATCACTGCTAAATTAAAGATGGTTAGAGCAGATACCCCTCGAGTAGCTTTGCGCGAAATTCAACAAACAAACAAAGGTGTAATGGTTTAATGTAATAAGGTTATATGCTACAGAAACTTAATTACATATGTTACAACTTAAAGAATAACTCTATTAACTTAGTCCTAGCTACGTTTCCCAGAAAAAGGGATCAAAGTGTATTTTGCCTTCATTGCTCATGCATTGTTCATAAGCTTTCTGTACAAATGTATTTCAGGTATCTGGAGCTTTCATGGTATATTTGGAGACAATCTCCTACACCATCTTTTCCAAATACTATGAGACCGAAAACTATTCAACTTCTCCTGCATTGTTCACAGTAGCCAGTTTGATTATATTAATCCTTCCTTTCCTAGGTTGCTGTTGGATCTATAGAAAGGAGGTGTGCATACTTAAGGCGGTAAGTCGGTCTTGTTAAATAATTCTCAGAATTATCAAAAATACTTTATTTTAACCTCTTTCGTTCTATACGTTACTGTAGGATGAAAGTTGACTGAAAATTTAAAATGTGCCAAAAACATTATTAGATAGAACTCCAGAATTTTTATTTGGTCAAAATATTATACAAATATAAAAACTTAAAATCAAAGATTAAATCCAAAAGCTAGTGTAAAATCTTTGTCAAATATATTTTTGCATCAGGAAAAATCTCATAATTACAAATAAAAGTCATGTTTTTCGTCCTTCATAAAATAGCTATAAACTATTTATTTTTGCTGTATGTAACCTCATGTCCATGTATAAAAACTGTTTTTGGAGAAAACCAAGGCTGGCAAATAATACAAGCCAGCACAATGCACTATGGATGAAGCACGGCAATAAGTTTAAATAATGTAAGCCAATAGAACACGGTATGGAGAAATACAACACTAAGTTCCAGTAATGTAAGCCAATAGAACACGGTATGGAGAAATACAACAATAAGTTTCAGTAATGTAAACCAATAGAACACGGTATGGAGAAATACAACAATAAGTTTCAGTAACTTACATTACTGGAACTTAGTGTTGTATTTCTCCATACCGTGTTCTATTGGCTTACATTACTGGAACTTAGTGTTGTATTTCTCCATACCGTGTTCTATTGGTTTACACCAATAGAACACGGTATGGAGAAATACAACAATACGTTTCAGTAATGTAAACCAATAGAACACGGTATGGAGAAATACAACAATAAGTTTCAGTAATGTAAGCCAATAGAACACGGTATGGAGAAATACAACACTAAGTTCCACTAATGTAAGCCATAGGACACAGTATGAATAGACAAAACATTAAGTTCCAGTAATGTAAGCCAATAGGACACAGTAATGGAGAAACATAACACTAAGTTCCAATAATGTAAACCAATAAGACATAGTAAAGAGAAATACAACACTAAGTTCCAGTAATGTAAACCAATAAGACAAGGCATGGAGAAAGACAACACTAAGTTCTGATAATGTAAGCTAACAGAACACAGTATGGAAAAACACAACACTAAGTTCGAATACTGTAAGACAGTGGGATACAGTACAGATGAAACAAAATATTAACCTGTAGGTGGGTTTCAAAACTGGTTTTTAAATGTCAACAAGTTCATAAGGTATTTAATGCTTATCTTCTTCTGTTCCAGTCACTAACTGTTATATTTCTTGCCACCATCTGATTACCAGGTGACATAACTTTCGAAAAATATGTAAAATAGTATGTGGTTATTTCTGATTGTAATCTCATATAAGCAAATAAAATACCTCGAATTGCAAAAAAACAACTTGGCTGTCTGATTGGGTGTTTAAAAAAAATCAGTCCAAAAAGTTTCCTACTTTGATATATTCGTAATCTTGTGTGTTTTTTATTCAATATATAACTTTTTATCCCGTTCGTATCAAATTATCAAAATATCTGAAATTTCTTGTCAGAATTTGTACTTTTGCATCTATTTTTCACCAGAGTTTTGCATACGTTAATGAAAACTAACATGTTACTGCTGTTTCATTCTGTGAGTCACATAGTTTATCTAATCATGTACCTCTTATTGTTTTTCTCTTAATGATATTTATTTGATTAGGATTATCTTAGTGATGGCTGTCAGGTTTTTCTGTTGTTGTTTTTTTTAAGGACAACTGTTCATTTCTATATTCATGTTGGTTACCAGGTTATATTTTCTTACCGATACCTGTCAGGTTTGTGTGTGTGTGTGTGTGTGTGATTACAATATTATTTTTTCCTTAGGGACAGTTAATACGTTACTGTTTAACTGTATGTTTGTTTCCAGGTTAGATTTTTCTTAACGATGGCTGCCAAGATTTTTTAGTGATGGTTGCCATATTAATTATTTCCTTAGGGACAGTTAACACATTATTGTTTAACTTTATGTTGGTTATCAGGTTAGATCTTCTTAACGACGGTTGTCAGGTTTTTTTTAGTGGTGGTTGCCATATTAATTATTTCCTTAGGGACAGTTAACACGTTAATGTTTAACTGTATGTTGTTTACTAGGTAGTGGGTACTTTAAACATTCGATGTTAGAGATTCAGTGATCATTCAAATATAGGTTTGTTTTATTTGCTATGTGCGACCGATATACTTATGTTTGTTTTTTTACTAACTCAAGTATACTTTCAGTAGGTTCACAAACGTAATAGTACAAGTTAATGCCACTGTCATACCATAATACATTTCTCTGAAATTAAAGATTTACTTTGAGGATCGACGTTTCGGCTATACTTTTACGGGCTTTCGCCAAGCTCGGTCTGTGTTATTCAAATGATTTAACGATTCACACGGTTGGTCAACGATAAGTTTATGGACTTAAAACGCTAAAATCCGAGGTTAGATTTTCTGAAGTGGGCAGAGCGCGATTAGCCCATTGTAGAACTTCCAGTTTTCTAGGTAGGTAATTAAACTCTAGTTGAAAATAATAAATAAATAAAACGCGGTTGAACTTAAGTGTAACAACATACTCATTTCTTACGTGCAAACTTCAATCTTTCGGGCAACAATAATGAAAAGAAGTATTATATTGTAATTTTTAGATTAAAAATACATGTAGTACAAATTTTACAAAAATATTGAAAAATTTATCACTTTATCATACATTTTGCTGGTTTTTTTTACGTTTTCACTCCGTAGTTAAACGATGACTACATTAATTTTACAAATGACGCTTTCAATCACTCTGATTACTTTGTATCACAGGCCTATTGAAAATACTCATAATTCTATCTTTAAAATTGTTGAAAAACTTAATTCGGATTTTTTATTCAAATTTCTAGAGTTTTTATATCAGATTGGTCTCATTTCAAACATAACTGTTCTACAAAACATGCTACTTGATACTTAAATGTTTCTGTGAACTATTTTATGCACCTGGAATGTTATTTATTTTATGCTTATTATGATTATATTTTACTCGAGCCGTGTTCCGTGTTATTAATTTTTAGGTCGTGGTAAAATGTCTGATGTTTGTGTGAAAATGGCGTTGATGGGTGTTAGATCATCACTGACTATAACTCTGACCTTGATCGGTCTATTGCAGATATTTTAATTTAACTTGGCTAGAAACTGTTTTCGGATGTGATAATAAAATATATTACATCACACATCCATCCCACCTGTAAATGTATATAGTGATAACTGAATGCAAACTTATCACATTGAACGCCATGTGATTACAACATGTTCTTTACTTTAGAGCTACGCTAGAAGTTCTCGTGTAACGTTCAAAGGTCCTAAATAGTAGTCACAAAACAAATGTTGAAAATAATTTTGAATAATAAACGCAGGAGACAGCCGTAAGGTGGCACTGTTTAATAGTAAGTTTTTCCAACGCTTTTCGTTTCAGTGAAAAGTTAAATGTAATTAGGCTCAGAATTGTTTTTAATTTGATCATTACTGTTCTTGTTTATTGGTGTGAAACTATACAATGGGTTATCTGCACTCTATCCATCGCGGGAAATCGAGCCCCTGTTTTAAGCATTATAAAACCATAAACTTGCCACTTACCACCACGCGGTGATCATTGTTCAATTAACTTTCTACATATCATAGCATGGCCAGGTGGTTAGGGCGCTCGACTCGTAATCTGCGGGTCGCGGGTTCGAATCCCCGTCCCACCAAACATGCTCGCCCCTTCAGCCGTGGGGACTTATTATGTGACGGTCAATCCCACTATTCGTTGGTAAAAGAGTAGCCCAACAGTTGGCTGTGGGT